CATGACCGCCTTTCTGGTTGTTTTGTTACACAGGTCGGTTTCTAAAGTATTATCTAAGTCAGATCCAAATGACACGGGCCCTGCAACAATTCCTTAAATTAGGCATCAAACCATGAGTTTTCGAATCAGTGATTAGGCTTCGTCGCACTTGAATTAATCACGAGGTCTAATCAGGTTCTGTTCAGACACATGTTTAATAACAACACGGAAAGGCAAAGTTAACGAAGCTCGGCTACAGATTGTCCATTTGATCGAATGAGTAGGCAAACGGGTTTGACTGAGAATTCAACACTGAAGGGTAATGATTCACAAGTGGTAGAAAATATAATCTGCTGATACATCGAATATTCCAACCTCCATTGTTTGCTGTGTACTCTTCCGCTTTCACAATTGCGTGTTCGGTTCAGGCACAGATTCGATAACAACGCGGTAAGGCAAACCAAGAGTTAATGAAGCCCGGCTACATATTGTGGCAAGGCTTCGTTTAGCAACATTCAATGCTAATCTCTCGATCGAATGAATACGTAATCGTTTTTGACTAAATCATGACTGAGGAATGATTCACAAGTGATACAAAATATCATCTACTAAACCATCGAATATTCCTACCTGCATAGTTCACAGTGTACTCTTCTGCTTTCGCGATTGCATGTTCGTGACTCCACAAGAATTGCATAATAAACATCCATCATTTATCCACGCCATTCCTTATGTCGATTTTCCGCCGAAAATGTCTTCAGTCACTAAAATAAGCCTTACTGATAAGAAATTCTTATGATTATGAATCTCTAATTGCCAACTTCATCAGAGTGGAGCACTGGTAATGAATCAGCCGAAAAAACACAAAAAGGACTGGGGCCAGATATAAGTGGGAGCCTGAGGAGCCTGAGGAAGAGGGGAGGTCAGGGGTTGCTAGTTCAAGTCTGAGGCTTTTCCTTCGCCCTTGTATCAATACGTTTTCTGCGCGACAGTTGATGGTGGCATTGTGTCCACTCCTAGGAGATGAAATCCTTATTACATTGACGCGTACGTTGTCTCTCTGATTTCCCAGAGACTGACATAGCATAACAGTGCACAGTACAGCGAATCTTGGAAGAGTACATTTCCGTTTTCATGACAAAACGGCGACAATGGATTTGAAAATAACGGTGAGAGAAAAGATTTACATCGAATCTCAGCGTTTCCTCGTGGGAAAGTTAATTATTACCTTACATCGATAGTGACGCAAAATCTATGATTTCAGTACAGGAAAATGCGTCTATGAATCAAGGAAAACCTCTCTCTACTCTTTTAATTCCTCAACATTTTTCAAGGGGATAGCCAGAAGGAAAGCGCAGCATTATACATTATTTGGCAGGCAAAAATTTGTAGTTCTTGTCGTCTTTGTACCATGTTAGTATGGATACGTACTTTTTCACTACCTACATTAATAGATTGAAATGAATTCATCGTAAATATAATTTTTAAGACTTGATTCTTAAAAAAAATAAAGCAGAGATCACCAAACTCGTTCAGCAGTAACAGGCGCTCAAGGGTTCCAGCGAAGGCTTTCTAAGAGACGTAGCGGTTCTGATAACAAATTAAGTGGGAGAAAAAACTGAATGTTGTAGTCATGAATCGTTTGTTTACTTTTTTGAAAACTGATCGAAATCTTTCCTTTCTTCCGTTAGGAATCTTTGTCGCGATACAGCCTCCCTCGCTCATCTGAGAGTGGCTCTGAGACTCCAGCTCAGTAGCTTTTGATCTTAGCATTATGAATTCATAGCATAATTATTCTTCAGTCATTTGCGTGCCCTTAATTTTGTTTTTCCTCACCGGTTTTTGACGAATGTTTAACATTCTTCCTTAACTTCACTTTGATATCATAACAGTCAAAAGTAAAGCTCACGGTCGTATACTCTCCCATTAACCACAGGTCTTTCGAGAAAACTAATCAAAAATAACACCGCATGGTCAGTTTTTGACACTTTTCACACTTAGTTTTTCCGTCACATCCGAATATGCGATTATGAATGAGAATGCATTTACCAGACATTCATATCAGAGGAGATATCAAATGGAAAATATAGTTTTATTTCAATGTTTCAAAAAAGATTTAAGTAGGCTGATTCTCAAAATATACAATAATTTACCACACATTCCTCTGATTACAAAAAGTAATCATATATTAGTTACGAATTCATATTCTGAAAACAGTTTTGGGAGAATGATCATCGAACACGTTATGAAGACAGAAAATAAATGATCAAAAATAGGCGATGTGAGATTTTATTGGCTCCGGTAAATGATCCAAAAAGTTGCGCAGTTAAACTTTAAGGAAAATTGTTTCATGGTAAATCAACAGTTGGTATCGACCATCCGTATGCATCAATGCAAAATTCATTTAATCGCTATATACTGTACAGTTTTTAGTTTAAAAAGAAATACAATAAAAATTACTTTCATTCTATCCACATAATGAGCAAGATGTTAACGAGAACATGGTAAAATATGGCCATAAAGTCTTATTTCTAACACCATGCACTGCATATTGGTTCCAAATTGCCAATGGCGTTTTCTATGCAGAAAAAGTGGGACCGGCCCACACACTAGTATAAAATCTCTCGACATCAAAGTCCCTTGTTTTGCATTTATATAAACTTTTTTCAAAAATTGTCAGCAGATCTTTCTTCCCCTTTGTGAGATTCTATGAATATCATAATCCTTCTTCCATATTTGTCTAACTTCAAAATATAAAGTTAAAATCATACACCTGCGATGAGTAGCATAAACCGTCCATGCAAAACAACAAACGATCATAAATTGTAAAAATTCTATACGTTCAATACCTCAATAGTAAGAAAATCTGGCATTAAAAAGAAAACTGGGCGTTTTCATTTCGTGAAGACATAAAATTTTTCCAAGCATCACCTGAGGGAAAATACTTCTCTTCAATCCCTACTCTTCTTTGGGAATATGAGGCCCTATCTTAATGTAAAGTATGTTGAGGACGTATTCTGCCTCAAAAATCAACAAAATTACAAAAGACGATTCAGCAAGTCGCAAATTGCTCAAATATTTCATTTTAAAATCCAATGTAAAGGAATCGACAACATAATAAGGCTTTGAGGAATACATCCCACAGTTCGGGGTTATTGTTCAAAGCCTCGAATCGTTTAATACTGAATTTGCAATAATTTTTGTATAAAATTATAGTCCAACCTAGACAAAATATCACCCGTTTGATAACACCCAACAAGATTCATTAGCAACACCAACAATTATCGTGATGAATTTTACAGATGAAAGATTTGGCTGACTCTGATTAGTTACTCGATGATCCTTTTTTTGTATGTCAGCCTTTAGTCCATTCAAATCTATTTATAAGGCGCTGTAAGTTTCACGTCACATCTTGGTAAAGTGAAGTCGTAAAAGTGTTTTATTAGCTTCTCAATTGTTTTGCATCGCACGCCATCAGGATCAAGGGCGTAGCCTTTCTGCAAAATAAATACCACAAAAAGAGGTGAGGGTGTCACTGTGAATTGTACATCCAAACTACCATACGATTAAGAATTTAAAAGGAAACAAACTAAAAAAAATTATTAGACAAAGAATGAACCACATACTTCATCCTGAAACACCATGTAATGTCGTACTCGATCTCCAGTCCACACGGACAGAGCCTGTATTAAATTGAAGGAAAAATTAAGAAGTAAATTAAAAAAAAGAACAAATTTTCCTCGAACTTGAAAATACTGCTCTGTGAAGTGTGAAAAGTAATATGCTGAAAAGGCGATGAAAGATTACATCGTTGAGTTTTTGGTTTGAACAAGATTGGAGAGACTGAACTGTTTTATTGATGTATAGTTTTGCTAGACTGTACTTATATATTTAATTTTCCCATAAACTCAATCTGTAGCACATTCGACTACGCTCCAACTGCCTGCTCGTTTGTAACTGTTACTTATACAGTTGACAGTCACATTACCATATACGAAACATGAAAAGTCGAGGTCAACAATCTACGATTTTCAAACTCTGAAGTACACGAGTTTTGTTACTATGAGTAAAAATCATTCTCTGAAGTTGGGTTTACCCGCTCTGACTGTGCGTTCTGACTTCTACGCAGTATGTAGACTCCGAGTTTATTTTCCAAGAGACTACAAGAAAATAAGTCAGAAATAAATACGTATTAAAACACAAATACAGTAACACCATATAAAACCTTGAAACCCCTACCCTCCACTCCTGAACAGATACATGAACCTATTGCTTTTAAAATGTACTTCGCGATGAAGGAGTTCGCCTTATCGGGATTCCTTTATTGTTTTGCCTGAGGCACATTTCATTGCATAACCAATAAAACTAATTCATATTGATCGGTTGCAGAAGAAAACAGACAATAAAAGTGGACAAAGAAATAACAGTGTCAAATTTTATTTTGAGACCTAAAAGCTTCTACTTATGGTAGGTAATATCAAAACCCTGCATACGCACGTAAATGTCGATAACATAAACAATACATGGGTACTTATTAGTTTTAATTACGAATGTTTTCTCTAGCTTCCTTGAGACAATCTCGTTATTAAGGCAAAAGTAATATACTTACGCCCCAACTTGCATCTTGTCCACGTCGAGTTTTACAGCCGAGGAAGGAAGAACTATCTGCAACAATAAAGTAAAGAGAGTTGCATAACCCTTTAACTCAGTCCCATTAGTGACCAATACAAAATTTCTCCTTACAATATCAATGAAATATCAAACAGACGAGTGATGAGAATGAAGAAAAATATCAATCGGGGGATTGTTAGCTGATCCAATACAAAATTCTCCAAACTCAAAAAATGAGAACTGTATTGCAGACAGTAAGGAAACTTACTAACGAGATCTTGAAAGTAAAAGAGTTAAGAAACCCATCGTTATTTAAGAATTTGTTCATGCTTAGCGTGGGTATATCGAATTATGGATGCACGCGGGTTTGGAGAGCACGAAAAATGCGTAAGAGTAGCTCTAAGCGCAGCCGAGAGCAACTCTAGCTTTTTGAGTGCTCTCCAAACTTCACAAGTGCATCCATAACTCGATATACGCAGAGCTAAAAAGCATGAGCAAATTCTTTTATAACAGAGCGAAAACAAGTATCTGCGCGAAGAAGCCTCTTATTGTGATAGAGTGCAAAATTCTCACAACACACAAAAAAAAGAAAACAAACGTCCCTACTGGCTGGTCAAAAACACGCCACATTTTATACTTTGGTTTGAGCGAGAAAATTTGAGCCAGTTAACTGATAACTGTGAGAGAAAAGCTCAAAATTTACGGGGAAAATGGAGAAAATCAAAGCCAAATGAACTCACGTGTCCCTAAAAAATGTTTTAAAAGTCAAAGACTCAAGGTTATCAACACAAATTTGCGAAAAGTGCAACTTGCGAGTGTTTTTCCGCCTTATTTCTGTTGCTTGTTAGATCAGGACCTAAATGGTCGATGCCGATAGAAAAATTGGGCAGATCTTCGCTAGTTTCTTCCATATTTCAAAGAGACGGAAACCTGCACTGCAGCTTAACAGGCAGGAAACTCTGAAGCCAGGAAAAAAAAATGCTCCCGTCATCTTATTTACGCACGGGCGTGTGTAAATAAAGATTTGTTCATAGCGGCTCAATAGAACTTATAAAGGGCAAGCACGCGCGCTATGTTATAAGTATTACATAACCTTGTGTACACGTGAAACTATAGTGAATCACAAAATCACATGTCGGTGACTAATCTATCGACATGATACCATGCATCAGAAAGACAACTTCATATTAGGGAGAGGGGTGGGTGGGGTGGCGGTAGTGCTTTGAAATATTTCAAAGTTCTTTGGATTGAGAGAAGCTAAGCCTGGAGGACTTCAGATAAAAAATAAAGCCTCGAGTTAATTAGCATTAGCCCTGGCCTCGTTAAACTCTTAGGGGAAAAAATACTACCTCATAGTACCTCTCCCACCCACAGTCTTGCGCACTGTGCAAAGGAGGAGGGGGGGCTGGGAAAGGCTACTTTAACTATTGGCTCCCGAGTTGATGGATTGCACAGGACTCTCAGCATTTCAAAGACGACAAAGTATTCAATTTAACATTTAAGATTTGTAATACTACTGACGTTCAACCAGTTTGTACAAAAAAGCAATTAAAATCCTGCCGTACGGTCATAAACAAGGTCTAAAATTCATACAAAATAAATGGTTTTATATTCACCTCATTATGATGCCGACGGATGCTTCGTCCATCTGGATATCCCCTAAAGCCAACAGAGTAAACAACGATAAGATTGAAAAGCGGCATAGTTAATGTTACAGGGTAATTTGGGTTGATACCGTAAAGAGCTTTGAAACTCTTTATGGTGGCCAATTTACATTATCAACTCTGTTAATAATACCAAACTACCTTGTTATACTCCAATACCAACGCAGCACCGCAGTTTCTATAGAAACCTACCCCCTTTATTCATAGTTAATGTTATCCTTCAGCAACTAGTACCAAATATTAACCAACTGTTCACAAGGTAAGCCCATTTTTTTCTGAATTACAATTGTAATTAACAATTTACGAACAAGAAAGAACCAAAAACTCACTAAATGAAACTGTAAATTGTGTAACTTTACTACAGGTTAAGAAAGGCAAAATTTTTCAAGTTTTTCTGTTGTCAAAAATTGATCTGAAATTGCACTGTATGAAGCATTTAGGGCCCTGAGTCAAAGCTGAATCATCATACTTGTCCATACAAAAAGAGAAATTTGTTATTCATTAGAACTTCTTGACCAGTGAAAATGGGTACATGTATCTGTTTATCTTGATAAGTTTGTACAAAAAATATTGGACACTCATTCAAAAAAGCTGCCTTATTTTCAAACCAACTGAGCTGGACTGTCAGCTCTGGCAAAAGTCATGGTATATATAAAACTTTTCAATTTAATAATCATAATAAGGTGTTAACATTTTCATACATGTATATGTATCTGGAGGGTTTCTTTCCAGTCAGAGGTGATATTTGCCCCAGAGTGGTATGAGTACAAGTATCCAAGCATTTCAGTAAAAAATTAGAGTGAAATAAAAATAGAGTAATGGGAATCTCTTCCTTTCTTCTCAAAAATTCCTCTCATTTTTGCTTTTTTCTTTTCTATATGCCTGTTCATTGGCTAATGCAAAACCTGGAGCAATAAGGGTCCCCCTTGTCCCACTGAATATCAAGTTAACACTAAAATAGACTTTTGAGAGGTTCATGTACAAGCAAATGCATGCAAGTGACTGTTACTCAATGATTTAATGTGTCTTCATGGTGAGAGGTCCCAATAATACTAAACATGAGCCTCTTGCTAACAAAAAGAGCTATGTGAAGAAAACTGTGGCTTCTCAGCACAAAAAGCTCTATGATATAGTAAGCCTCTGTTATGATCAAACACACAAATTACACTCCATTGATAGAGAATGATATTAGGTGAAGATTCCTCTTACTGGACAGACCTTGACAGGGCGGGTTGCTTTTCATTGACATCTTCAGGATTTGTGTCTGGAACTATGTCCAAATAACCTTCCCCTTCTTCTTCTTCTTCTTCTTGGTCTAAACAAAATGAAATCATTTACCACAATATTAGTGACAGAGTTATCTAAAAAATTTGATTTTGATAATCTCCTAAGAAATGCAAAATTAATCTTAAGAACCTAACAACATTTTAACCCTTTAACTCCCAACCTCTGATTAGTTTTTCTCCCTACTGTCCTCTTGCAATTCTTATGATGTTAGTTGGGAGAATTTGGTATTGGATCAACTAATAATCCACTAATCAATATTTTTCTTTATTCTTGTTACTTGTCTGCTTGGAATTGTATCATTTGATATTATAAGGAGAAATTCTGTCTTTGTCACCCACTGGAGTTAAAGGTTTAATAAAAAATACCAATGAAATAAGGTTAAAAAGTTCAGGACAGTTCCATTTGGTTGTAGTGACCCTCACCCATGGCATGATAAAAGCTAAGTCAGTAGTCATAACCATTCTAAATGAACAACCACCCTTGCATTGACAGCATGATTCATACCTTCCCTGAGAAAGAAGATGTGGTTAGGGTGGTTGCAACTCACTGATAAGATTGAATGAATTGAGACAATAAAAGACACATAATGCATTACTGTGCATAAGTTCAGACAGTGTACAGTACCTCTACAGGGCAACGATGGGTACCTCATGATAGGTTCAGTGGTGTGCCGCGTCAGAGGAGGTGGCCGAGGAAGTGGTTTGGGCGGTGCTAATGGTTTTCCCTTTCTTGCCGGTAGAGCAGGAGGATCACTTAACTTGCGGGGAAAATCAGGACTTGTCCTTCCAGGAGATTGTCTGACTGCCCCTAATGAAGCACCTCCTTGGCCTGGCACAGGAGTTGGAATGCCAGTGTAGCTGAACCCTCCTCGAAGTGGCTTAGGTGAAGGAAATGCAGGTCTCTGAGGAGGCAGGGGTTTTCTTTGCACTTGTGGAGAACCCATTTCAGGGGGTGGACAGTACATTGGTTCTAATGCTGGTTGTGGTTGAGGTTTTCCAAACATTGTTGCTAATTGTTCCAGGTCAAATTTAGGTTCTACTTCAGGGTAGCAGTACTCCAGCTCTGCATTATCATTTGGCTCTATGCTACAAGAACAAAATAAAAAGAAATACACTATAAGAGCTTCATTTGAACCCACTTATTAAAAGAACCATGTCTTAATTTGACAAAATCTATTCAGAAAATAATTTCTAATAGCATTTTAACAAAATAATACTGGACATCATTATCACTTGTGAACAATAAACCTTCACGATAAGTTTAAAATACTTTTATACTTTGGCTGTCTTTTTTTAATAAAACCGTTTATAAATAAATACCAACAACAAACTACATTTATCAAATCAATTAAATTCAAGACACTCACATGCTTTGTCTTCCTGTCCCACAGTATTCTCTCATATCACTTACTATACTGTTCATCCATTCCTACCAAAAAGAATTGAACAGCTATAAAAACTTTTTCTAGGCCAAACTTGGTCACACCTGTTATAAGAAACTGTTGTGAAGGTGGCAGACACCAGCTTTTGGTGAATGCATACAACGTATTTCAAGGATTATGGCTAATGGGAGGAGAACTTTCAGAATCAAATGTAAATTTTTTTTTTATTTTTAAAACTTCATTTCTTGGCTAGGGACTCTAAGGTTTGGGGTGCAATTACCAAAATATGGGGGAGGACTAGCAGCCACTCCCTAGACTTTCCTCTGCTCCAACTCTTGAACTCATTTTCCAAATTAAAAAACAATTTATTTATTTATGGGCATGGCAAAGACAGGATTCACCACTAACAAAGTCTCCTTGGGTACATGTAGTTTGCATTACAAGTGTCTTGCTTTATTTTCTGATTAATTTTTAGGGAGAGTGCTTTTCAAATTCAGTTGAATATCTGGATACACAAACATTAACATGGCACCAACCAAGAGTAACAGTAAGGTTTCAACCCTTACACTCCATCAGTATGCATATTCTCCATACTGTTTTCTATACATTTCCTAAGGGGCTGACAAGGAGAATTTGAAGATCAGATGAAACCAAAGGATAAAAGACTCTCCGCGCAACACTAGCAAGGTGTTGTCTAAGTAGAAAAAGGTGAGGATGTTTAACTGAATTGCTTGTTAACCCATTAATCCACTAGCGTGATTGACTCATAAATTCTCCTAACAATATCACCCTTGAATAAGAAGTTAAGGTAATGAGAATAAAGGAAATGATCACCAACTAAACAAGTTCTTGATACTTAATTTTACTTGGTACTTACATTCATTTCTTGTTCAGAATATGCAGCAAAGTAGTAAGTCCTTTTTTCTGGTTGTAAATGAACTAATTTAAAAGTCCATTGAAATTTGGAAGTTTTCTCTGGTGCTGGGGACAATCTAAAATGAAATGTGGATAAAAATTTCAAACTAAAGCCACCACATTTATGAATAAACAAAAAATTGATTTTTGGAAATCCAAAATTATTCTGGAGCTCGACTTATTTTCTTACAGTAGGTAAGAAACATATACTTCCAAGACTTTCTGTGCATGAGGTGGTCAAGGTCTCAGGGTGTTTCAAAAGTTTACACTGCTATTGCAAATTTTTCTGCTCACATTCTATTACCTTAGTGGGAAGTGCACATTAATAATGAGCTCCTGACTGAAAGTTTGTTTCTCATTAAAACATACCTGTATCCACTGAGAGAAAATTTACCAGCTGTAGTTTTAGCATCTGGAGTATTGTAATAATACATGCAGCCTTTGTGCAAGATGATATATCTGTCACGCCCTATTAAAAAACACAAAAACAACAAATTACTTTCAAGCTACAAGTGGGCTAGCTGCCTTTCAAACTGTACATGGGATGCAATATAGAACTTAACCTCCACTTCATGATCTTTGCATACATTACCTGATCCGACAAAAAAGGGACTGCAATACTTTACATTATGTGCAGTGGCAAAGAGAAGCACACCGATAAGTGTGATAGTATCCAATAGAAAGGTAGAATTGTGTGAGAGAACAAACAATACACAATGATACAATGCTATAACCATAGGTAAAAATTACCATTGTTTTACTGTACACTTTAATTTTGGCAATTTTGTTCAAGGAAAAAAGAGAGGGAGGGTTACTCATTAGGAACCGTAGCTTTCAAGAAACCTGAAGCTCTAGACAACATGCCATATAGAGAGAAGGGCTTCATACAGACAGATGCACAGTAAGAAGTCACCAAAATTAATTTTGTACAAATTACACATGACACAAGATGAAGAGACTCACAGGATTTTACACTTCCTCCCTCTTTTCTTATCCATCCACATTTGCTACAGCTGTCTTTGAGTAGTTCTTGAGCAGGTATGGATTGGAAAGGTTCAGGTCCTTGTTGATGTGCGTCTAAAGACGACCATTTCCTTCCATCTTCAGCAAGGGATGTACTTGTGTTAGCAGGAAGTGTTGTACTCATGCGGCTTGGAGAAGTGGCCATTACTCTATTTCAATATTATACTATCATCTTGTATGAGTATCTATGTAAAAAAAGTTAACAAAGATTGATCTAAACTGGAAATTGAACAAGAAAAAAAATATCTGCACCCTTGACCCATTAAAAAATTCCCAAGAATAGTTAAGGTCCACAATTCACCTGGCCACCCTGTTCAATTGATAACACAGGCTGTGATTCTCCTCCCTGCAACTTAGAAACTTCTTTGCAAATGGAATAATTTTCAACTGAGCGTTAAAATCAAGCCACCCTAGATCATCTTGTTTTTCATAACTTTATTTTCTAATTTGCTCAGAACACTTGCAGTACTCTCTGAACTTAAACCCAATTCAAAAGTTAAACAATAATTGATTCATGTTTTCCAGCACTTCAGAGAGTTTACCTCTTTTAACTTGAAGTTCTGATTTGCTTATCATGAATTTTTCCTTCTCTCACACATGCAATTTTGATTACTTTCAACTGGTTTTAGTGTTATTTAAACACTCTATTGAAAAGTACTCTAAAGAGATAATCTAGAATTATTTCAAGAAAACATTTTTTAAGTCAAGAGTTCATCATCTGATTCATCACCTATTAAACAATGATCTGTTTATCTCCGACAAAAATTGTGATTACACACTTTCAGCATCATCTATTAACTTTGTTTGGATTATAATTAATACATCTCTGTAGTGATTTGTGCAGCTTATGTTTTTGTTCATTCTCTTGATCAACTGGACTGGACCTGCCTTTCCATCCACCCAAGAAACCCTTTCTAATGTCCTGACCCAGTTCCTCTGCGGGTCATTACATCGTCCTATTCAGTGAGCACGATGAGAACAGCTGAAATTTTACTTAGAGTCGTCAATCTTCCAAGCTTTGTTGCTGCCAAAGCCTACGGCTGGGAATACAGTATAATTCATCCTTCCCGCAATCATGCATGAGCACTCTGTGTACGTCAACCGCAAAACCCCGGCTCAAGTTGATAGTTATACATGAAGGCTTGATACATACATTTGATATGAACTCAGTTTAAATTGTTACTGTTTGGTTTGGATGTGGACAGACATTTACAATAAAATACATCGATTGCGATAAAAGCTGGAGTTTTCTTTGTCGATACAACAAATTTTGAAGTTACAATAAACACAGCACCATTCATTAGGCGTCAAAGACGCGTTTTAGCATTAACCTTACATGATGTCACAAGTGTAAATAGAGAAGCCTGTAAATTCTTGCGTAAGATGGTTACAATCGGTGCTTTCCCATATACAAGCTGTGGTACAAAATCGACGAATGCTGCTCGAATGTTCAAAAGAATGACAAACAATATCACTCAAACGGGCCATTTCCCTCACATGACATCACAACAAAACCGATTTCGTGTGCAAAAATCGCCAGCAAATTAAGATTGAAAAGTCACGCACCTAGCGAGAGGTTATATGCATCAATTTGATTTTACTGAGCCTCTGATTATGTACCTGTAAATAAAGAAACGCCTAAAACAATATAGAATCAAAGTATTGCGCTTTCTAATTCAGATATTATTCCGGAAAGAAACCAAAGTGAGGTCTCACCTACCGAAAAGAAAAGCTTGGTTACCTTTCGGAATCCTTCGGTGTAACGCCTCTAATCGGACAATAGAGTTTTTTTAACGGCTACAAAGTTCACAAAAGGCTTCCTCTGTGCATCTTTAAACTCTCTTAATGACTTTCGTGATAACAAACTATCCTTAAATTGTGTATTTCCGCATTCAATGTCAGGGCGCGAGCTCTTCGTTGTATCTTGATCGGACTTAAGTCATTTCCTCTAGTTCCAGGAAAGACGAGTGACCTACATTACAAACAGATGAAGAAGGGAGGGGATGGACAGAAGTGTTTTTAATATAAAGAGGACTGCCGTTATATACAAGTCTTGATATTCTCACACTCCCAAAGTTCAGTCCAGATATACTGATCTATTGGGAAGATAATGATATTTAGATCCTTTTTCTTTTTCTTTTCGTTAAAATCAGTAGGTGCAAGCGTGCATTCATTTATTAGGAAACTGTTACGTAAGATGGCTGCAATCGGTGCTTTCCCATAAACAAGCTGCGGTTCAAAACCGACGAATGCTGCTCGAGTATTCAAAAGAATGACAAACAATATCACTCATCCGGGCCATTTTTCTCACATGACATTACAACAAGCCGATTCCATGTTCAAAAATAGACACATTTCCATTCGTTCTTTCTTATGATCCAATGGAGGCCACACACAAAGAAGATGACACCTTTGACAATTTTTGTTCTTACCATATTTGACGTCATCTGTGATCTCTTACCGAACAGAAGCATGGCAACATGGAAATTATATGTCCAATATTGTGGTCTGATTGGCTTCACTAGCTACTCGCAATCAATTTACAGTCGATAGCCAGAAGAGCAATTGGCCTCAGCCTGCGGTATAATGAAGTAAACGAAGACAAACATGCACTTGACTTGTTGTTAAGTAGATATAAACTAAAAAATGAAATTACATGTATTTCCTCTCGATTTCAATCGCGTGATAATTGTCGAGGGCTTTGTCCTAATTGAACTGTTACGCGATTCATGCGATAGAAATCTTGGGCTCATAATCTAGATCTAATCGGTGAATAGTACCCAGGCCCTTCCAGACGTACGTGGCTCGGAGATTATTTTCTGAACGTAACTCTATTTATAATGAAAGTTATAATATCTTAAACAGCGGAAAAATAGACTTGAAAGAATATCAGAGGTGAACATCGTATCTAGTTATGGCTTTATTTGCATGTAGCTATAGATGCATATTTTGTCATCGTCCCACGCTCACGAAAATAACCTTTTATCCATTGCAAGGCCCACATCTTCTCACTTACCCCAATTAGTTCATATAGTTTAAGTGTATGGACACTTGAATAAAGTTTATTATGACTTCAAAAAGGCTCAATCTCAAACTAAATTAAAAATATACCAAAAAAAAATAGAGTACGATATTTTCCGTCTCATCACAAGCGTGGGACAAAGAAAAATTCCGAGTCCCCACGAGGAATCAAACCTCAGACCTTCGGATGCCTCATGAGGACTAAAAATATTTTCTCTGTCCCACGCTCGTGACGAGACGAAAAACATCTCTTTTTCTTTACCGAGCTCAAAACTCGCCATTTCTCTTATTTTTTAACGAAAAAACAATCATTACTAATATAAATAGAGGATAACTTTATCATCCCTTTTATCAAATTTCCAGTTTCACCACTGCGAGTTATGAAGTTAAAGTCATGTTAGATTAAATATTAAGCTATGCGATGTGTTGTCGTGCGTCTGATCAGAGAAGACGTCAAAGGGTAGTAAGACCATTGACCAGTAACACAGTCAATCGCGCCTCGATCAAGTCACTTCTTTGTTCTTACCAATATATTTGACATCACCCGTGATATATTACTGAACAGACGCATTTCTACAGTGAATTCTATGTGATGGTCTATTGAGCGCACAGGCAATATTAACCCATATGACTTATTCTGCCTTGTTCCCGTATAAGGGAAATTATTTGCTTTAGCGTAATTTTTAAGGTTGCATATGTTGTCCCCTATTCTGTGAGCTTCTGATTTGGAGAGAAAAGTTAGATAATGGCCTCGTTGTATTCTCATTTTAGTTTTTAAGGACTTCATTGGATGTTGATTTCGTCTCGTTACGGCATGTTAAAAGCAAAAAAAACAACAATAACATAACCAATATCCAACCGCATTTACCTCAAGTGTGGCCAAAAAAAAACGCGCACCATGAGGGATTCTGCTTCAGTACTGACGTCACTGAGTGACGTCACTAGCATGCTGCCTCGCCTTAGGAACTAGTCCAGCCCAGAACTAGCCATTATATTTAATGAATGAGTGGCCAGTAATCGGATCCTTGCGCAAAGATTTCTGAGATCGCAGCATTGCAAACATTGCAAACAAAATACATAGCGAAAGGTTATTTCGACGTCCAAAAAAATAAATTTTGAAGAGAGATCAACGCTCAGCGCTTTTTCGCCGCGGTTTTGTCATAAATGGATAAATGTAATGTTGATTCGAGAGAAGTGTAAGTTTTTGTTTGCATTTCCACGAAATCTGTTATAAAATAGACCGATGAACGTCTCTCCTTGCCTATATAATGTTAAATCGTCATCGCGCAATGGTCTCGACATTTACAAAATTAGCCATAAATCGCAAGGAAATAACTCATTTAAGTCTTTTCAGTTGTATTTATATAGATACAGATTATTTTTATACTTGTTAACGAATTAAATAAACAAATTACGACGTCTGAAATTATACCTACTCTAAGGAGAGAAGTCGTTGTCAGCGGAGATGGGAATTGTTTGTATCGAGCTGTTGCTCTTTGGAAAGATGAAATAAGCGAGGGAAAACATGAGGAAATCCCTAGGTCAAGTGATAATTTGTTTGAAAATAATCCAAAGGTTTTTAAGCGGCCACTTTTCTCCTTGAACTCCTTAGAGGATCTGGTCAGTAAAATCAAGATCACGAGAACCCCAGCTGAAACTGTGGATCTATATTCAGTTGGGCATTGCTCCTTGAACAACCCATTTGTTCCTTATCATCGCAGAAGGATGGGCTCAGTTTTGAGTAGAATATCAACGCTGGTTCGTTCTCAGTGATCACAACAGAGAGGCAATGTAGGTGTTTAATCACTTAAATGTATCTGACGGTAATATTTATACTCAAGCTCACCATTTCTCGTCATTTCAATCTCCTAGTACCTCGAAGTAGCTGTTGTAGCGCTCTTTAGTATTACCAAGCCAAGAAAAAAGCTAGAGGTGGACTTAACACACGTCAAAAAAGCTGAAAAGGCTTTATTAATTTATTTCTTGGAGTTTCATAGCTAATATCTCAGAATTTCGAGACTATCAAGCGATGTCAGTTTCACAATACACCTCGCGTATGGAGAAATGTTTTCAATTTCTGTAGATTTTACAACATATTTCGAGGTTGTTCGAACAAAAACTTACGCTTTCCTTATATCAACATTACCTAAATCCATTTCTGATAAAACAGCGGCGAAAGAACGATAATCTCTCTGTAAATCGTTTTTGTGGACGTCGAAACAACCTTTCGCCATACATTTCTTTCTACTGAGTCGCAAGGTTTTCCCCGTGGTGATCTCACATTTCTTTGCGTAAACACAGGGATTCGATTACTGGCTACTCATTCAAAGCTAATTTGCCCGCTGAGATTAATATCAAATAAAATGGGCCAGTTGGGGCTCCCATTGCAGCCAGTTGTCAACTGACTGAAATTCAAAACCTGTCTGCACACTCCTCTTTAACACTGAATGTCGAGTAGTATAGGTGACATGAGGTCCTCGATAACCTGCGTTTATTGGCCAATGGGATTTAATACGGTATTTAATTTCCTCTGCCGAAGCAAAGATCACATATAATCCCGCTGATCCTAGTGTCACCATTCACTCTTCCTCGGGATTTTTTTGTATCCCTCTTATGTTTCTGAGTTCACATGACTGTCGTACAGTAGGAACATCTTCAAGAAGCTGAAAGAAAATTTATTGCAGACTGTTGTGTTCGTGGCAGAAATAGATAATGATACATAACGACAGAATAGGTGGAATTAACTGAAAGCCCTTTAAGATGAGACGGCAGTATTCTCAAGGTGGGTTGGCTTATTTAAAAGCTTCAACGTTTTTTTTAGGACCTTTTCGGTAAAACGATTGTTTCTTTATTTGGGATAATTACTGTTTGTAAGCCGTATTATATATAATATTACTGATTAAGCGACAAAAGTCAGAGTAAACAACAACGATCTACAGGAGGCTGGAAATTGTTTGTTTAGGTTTAAACCCTTTTAAAATACAAACATTTTATAGCATATCAAGTTTACTTGAGGACGACGTGTTTTAACACTGGGTTTCTCTTCCACCAAGTCTAATATTCCTCTCCCAGTTTGAAATCTGGTATTTAATTATAATGGAGATGGCACTTTCGCGAGTCCTTGACACATTGTATAAAGCAATTGTAGGCAATCTTTTCTTGAATTCTTTTCATTTTCTGTAACGGAAGCCCAACATTTGAAGTGAATAGAAAAAATCTTAAAAAACTTTGAAAATTTATCCTGACAAGAGGATTGCCTTTAGTGCTAATAAAAAACATATTGGCGCTTCGGACATG